ACAAAGATCGAAATATTTCACATTTCAACTTAACGCACGACGCTCACATTGCGATATTATTAAACTTTCTTTCAAGTTAATCTCACCAATGTTACTTGTTTTGATATGTGTCTATCGTGAAATCCCTCGTTTACAGCTCACGTAAATTTGCTATTTTTCACAACATCTGTATGTCCGAATCTGTAGGTTCATCTGTCTCTGATGAATTTTTACTCGAGGAGCATTTCGAGCGCGAAATGCAATTAAAAAAGTTCACTATGCGGCGAAAACTGGCTCTGTTTTTTTTTTCCCCCCTCACGCGCCACTTTCACGTCGGAACACGGCGAGAGAGAGCGGTCACTCGGTTTGCGAGCTACTGACCACTCGCAGTTGCATCCGCTGCACGAGATGCATTCACACACACACACACACACACACACACACATACCGGGCCATCTCATCGCACACTGCACCAACAAGCACGCGAAGTTTCCCCACCGACGGTACGAGCGCATTTTCGCAATTGGATGTTCAAAATCCGGTCGGCCCACCTTTAACTACGTGCAAAGCTTATTCTCGAAAATTTATTCGGACGAAGAAAAAAATATCGCGAGTTATACAAAAATTGTGAAATACGATATCATTAACATAACTAATTTTAACGATTTCACAGTAAAAGTATTTGAAAGTATTAAAATATGCAAATCAAATCCAAGTTCGATCGCTAAAAATCGCTTAAAAGTTGTTCTATTATCGATTCCAAAAGAGTAAATTGAAAGTATCGCTTTTAACACGAACTTTTTCGTCCGTACTTTGGTGTGTACATACACACACACATGATTAATGTTACTGTAATTTTACTTTTATCATATCTTGCGATTTTTGCAACGCGTTGCGATAATGACTTTACCTTGGAGTTCTTCAGAAGAGAAATATTTTGTGACTTGGTCTACTTGTACTTTCAGAACTTTATATCGCGTTGGTTTTATTTCACAATGTCTCAAAATTATCGCCTGCTTTTATCGCAACTTCTTTCATGCATGCACAAAGCTCTTTGATCAATTTGCCAACTTTTTGCAAAATGTGTGCGCAGATGAAGACGGTAACAATTGTAAGACGTGCTGTATTCGCCAGTGAAGCAATAAAAGAACGTGACCAAATCACATACCTGACACAACATTTCTGAAGATCCTACTTTAAAGTTATCGACTAACGCGCTGCGTGTTAAGATGATAAAAAAAGTAACTGGCGACTCGCTCTATTCGCGGTTAGCAATTAATTCTACTATCTAATTCGTGCGTTCGTCGTCTAAATAGTCTAAATGCACTGATAATACGGGTCAAGGCTTTCCACCGCGTACACTTTTTTTCAACCGAAACGTAGAGTAGTCCCGTAACAACTAGTGGACCTCTCTCACCCTTTGCCTCCGTTCTCCGAATAAATTCTCTCGTCTCTCTTTCTCTTTGGCCGCTCTCGCCCCACCTTCTGCCTCATGAATCTCTCAAGGCTCGAACAAAGGGCCCAAATAAATACAAATAGCACTTCCGAACAATGGCCAACGGTGCAGGCCTCCGCCTATGGCGTTGTCTATGCGGCCCTCTCTTCTCTCGTGCGCCTTCTCTCGTCCCGTTCGCCGTTTTACGTTTGTCGAGAGACCGTGTCGAGAGACAGGGATGGAAAGAGATTTTTCGAGGACGACCCACGTGTAAAACGGAGTATCAGGCATGATGGGTCCCTCCGCGCCGTCATAATTGGCTTTGCCTCGGCTTGGCGTATCGGCCTCGCATTATGCCGTTGCATGCATTAGCATATTCGCCTGAAGATCTCTTTCGTCACGCGCATAATCGGTAAGTATGTTCCTCGAAGGGGTATGTTCCTCTGCTGGGTTCCTATTTCTGCGGCACTATTTCGACTTCGCGGGAAATACCGAATGTCATCAAGATTTTTTTAATGGACATATGCGCGACCGCTGCTAATTATATGAGTACAAATAGTTTGTTTGATTTTTTGCGCTACGTAATTCTCAAGTTTTGTTTTAAGCTGGATACTTGAATATCATTACGAAATTGATAAAACACATAAAATTTTAATGAAAATACTACAAGATAACAAGAGGAAGAAACTAATGGAAGCCCAAAGGTTAAAGTTAAAGATGTGTAATTATTTATAACAATTAAACATAATTCCAAAAGTGTAAAAGAGTATGAAAAATTGCACAAATTTCGATTCATTGAAAAATTTGTTTAATAATTCAAAAAAATTCCAACAGTTTTTTGTTTATTATCTTGCGACAGATTGTTTTTAGTGTCAGTATACAGCAGTTTTGTTCTATGTTAATTTATTTCGCAAAGCCTATCTATTATCGGGCGAATTCTTTCGCGCTTTTGTTTTTTTCCTGTGCGACGTTTTTTTCTTCTCTTTTATGCAGATTAGATACGGGTATGGGATTACAGTTCCAGGGCGGCTGCACTTTTGCCAGTCAGGGCTGGTTTTGAATAATTCCCTTAGAACCCACTGACACGGTGTCACCTGGATGAATGAAATGCGAACGACCGTGAGAGAGAAGAGAAAATTGTGAATTATAAAGAGTCTACGTGCTCTAGAACAATATTTACATTCGTTTACTCGGATGACAAAAGTATTGATAAGAATTTCTAATTAATTAATTCTATTATCTTGCCGCGTCATACTTGTGTGTGTGTCTTGAAAATGTTAACACTTTGTTAACTGATTTCTTTAATCTGCGTTAAATAATCTGCGTTATATAATTTTTTTGTGTTTAAAGATTCGGACATTGCACGTTCGTTATAAAAACTTAAATGAAAGGGAACTGGATAAAAGAGTATCTATATTAATCTATATGTATCCAAAGGAATTATGTTTTCAAGAATTAAATAAATTTATCTATCTATAAAAGAGAGAAGTGTATTGTATTATATATCTTAATTAAGGAAAACATCAGAAAAGTCTAATATAATTTACATTTTTCGAGAAAAAAAGTGGAGAAGGAAGAAGTATATATATTTTAAAAAATAAGAAATTTGGAAAAATCTTAATTAATCTTCATCACGTCTTGTTTTCTTAACTCACAAAATCCATCTAAGATGGCGTATCCGCGAGATAAAGCTAAGAGAGGCAAAAGTAAATAAGTGGAAGTGTGTTACATTACGAAACGAGAGTCTTGTGTTGTAAAATTTCCGGGCGGGACGGAGTCGGCAGGACGGAAGGTCGCATCCGTTTTTTAATTCGAGGTCAATGACGCTCGAGGGAGACTTAAAAGTTGGGCTAACGATGGGTCTGTTGACCCTCAAGATTTTTTACTCGGTCGTAGGACGAAATCGGACCACCCTGTCATTAGCATACAAAAGTCTCGACTGCAGGCCGAGCGAGCGGCCCGTACGGCGCGGCGGTTAACGACAATCATTACTTGGGAGGCTGGCGACTCGTAAACTCTCTTTCCTCTCTTTCCCTGCGGTTGTACTTTAATGTTCGCCCCTTAGTCGCGCGACCGCACTTCCGCCTGTACCTTGCCCTTTTCATATTCAATTCCGGTGTTTGTCCGGAAATCGACGTCTAAGCGCAAAGTGTTCATGCTTTCGGCAAATTTTTTATTTTTTTAATTTGTCTATCAGAAAATAAATTAAACTTAATAAGAGTTAATAAATAAACAGAATTTTTTAATATAAATAATAGTTTGGAAAACATTTTATCTTCCTAATTTTACAAATATACATTTACAATACAATACTGTTTCTACTTTAAAACATTTTATATAAGATTGTATTATTTTTATTATAAAGAAGTAAAGTTTAAATATGTAGATCAAATAATTAATATATAAAAAGGGGTACTAATACTATTCATTAGTGTCAACGATGTTAAAACACGTTTAATAAAGACCTAGACTAAACGGACTGTACGGGTGCTCGCGTCTTCCGCTTCCGTCAATCGTTTCAAACTGATATATGCAAAAAAAAATATCCGCGACTACTCCGTAGCTCGTTGTGTGCCATGTCCACAATAGACACGTCTTGAGAACAGCCTCAGGAAACGCCGCGATTGTGGGAGAAGGAAGACATTCGGTTTTTTTTTTTTTTTTTTTTTTTTTGGGCACTCCCGCGTTTTTGTCTTCACCAGCAGCTGAAAGGGTTGCGCAGAACGTTGGAAGGAGGGAGAGAGGGAGGGAGGAAGGAAGGGCGAGAAAGAGCGAGAGATGCCAAGCGAGAGAGTAGAGACTGAGATGAGATGGAAGCTGTTGAGACGTGTGGGAAACGGATCCAAGGTATGCAAATCTGAGACTCGTGGAACGAAGATCAGCAAAGAGGATAGGGGGCCACTTTTGCTACCAAAAAAAGCGGCAACCTTCATATTAGCATTGTGTGCGTATCCCACCAGTGGACCAGTGGTACCGATCTTAAACATGTAAATCGCCGTAGCGTGATCAAAAACTCGCCACGTCTTTTCTTGGTCATGTTTGCTTTACGATCTACGAGAATGTTTACGAATCTGTAAGAGGTACGTGATGCTTCAGATAACACTGTCTGAAATATTATAATCTATAAAGGATGATCGTACATGTGAGAGAAATTTGAATGATATTTAAATATGTTATAATATATTGTATATATCATTTAAAATTGTTAATCACAGTATTGATTTAATCTTAATCTAATAAAGATTTCTGTCAGCTATCCTTGTTATACGCTGTATTTATCTACTATACGCCAATTCATTGAATAATTTTATGAAAAAAATTAATAAACGCGGAAATACTCTCTGGACTCGTATATATATTTTTATATAATTAATAGAAGAAAGTATGCTTGTTTATGTTTTTATTTCACAAATAATTGTAATTACAAATCAATGATCAATATATTAGTCTGTCACACGGTTATACGTGCGACAATAAAATACATATTATATTTTGTGATTATACTTATTATTTTATTTGACAAACCGTAGAAAAGGATTAAAAAGGATAAAGGGAAAGAATAAAAGGTTATATTCCTTTTTTATAATTATTGTTGTTCTTCGTCTTGATAACTCAGTTTGATATCTATTTCCGATCCCAGTCGTTCACGAAGTTGGTCAAGAACGTCAACTTGAATTTGGTCAACATTTTCGAGAGGAGTGTAATCGTCCTCACTAGATCTGCAATAAAAAATTATTTAATAATAAATATAGTTTATGAAAAAAAACATAGCTATTTGTTTTTTTAATTCTTTCTACCTATATTCTTAAATTTTAATAAAATAATTAACCTTGTGTGGTGATAATATATTATATAATATATCATTGAGCACACACACACAAAACCATCTCGGGATAATTTTTCCTTATGTATTTTTCAAGTTATTTTTTCTTAATACGAAATAATTCTTTAGTGAAGATTTAATAAAGAAATTAGTATTAAAGACAAGCAAGATTTATATCTATTAAAGAGCAAAGTACTTAGCAATTAATTAACAAGACTCTTACAGAATTCTAATATTGGCCCATTTAATATTGAAAGAAAGTAACTAATAATTTATTTTAAGTATTAAAAGCACTATGTTTAGTACTTTTAATGCTCCAAATAAGTAATTAATTACTATCTTTTAATAATAAATTGGTTCATATTAAATTATTGCTAATATTTAATTTCTGTAAAGCGGACGTAAAATGAGAAAAGAGGAAAAGAAAAGGAAAGCATAAAAGTAAGTTTAAAGTAGATCATTAAAAGAATCGTATTCTCTATTTATTCTCGCTTTCACTTTTCTCTATTCTTCTGCTTTCGCTATTTTCACTTTTTCGTTGATTCAATGTTTCTTCTATTTGCTATCTCACCCTCTGTCAATTTTTGTCGCTGATTGTTTAATCACCGTTTGGCAAACTACGAGAGAAACTGCAAACTGTCCAGAGACGATATCCGACAATGTTTCCGCGTCTCTCCCCCGGAAACTAATGTGCTGAAATGGGAGTTGGAAACAGCGAAGGGTGGAAGCAAGTCGAATGGGATAGAATCGATTTTTTTCACAGCTTCTGCCGGAAGTTTGAGCAGAATCTCCGTACTTTTGTTGCCAGATGGCGCCAAGTCACTTACTTTAAAGTTATTTTATATATGCATATAAAAAAAAAGTACTAAATTTTAATAAATATATATTTGTTTGAATAGTACTAACTAAATATTTACTAAATGTAAACGTATATTTATTTATAACAAGAAATATTAATTTGTTTTACTATAATTATTTATTATTGAGTAAATATTTATTTATTGTAAGTAAATGATAAATAATAATAAAATTTAATTAGTACTATTAATAAAATATTATTAAGATTTAGTAAAGTTTCTCAGTGTAACAGTGTAGCTATATATATGTTCAGATAAAAGCATATCTATCGCATCAATTGTAATTCAAAATATTGTATGTTCGTATTAAATACTATCAGACAAAAATTATTTCAAAGAAGATAGTATGAGAAAGAAAAAAAATAATATATTCTATAAAATATATATATGTTTCTTTTTGTGCATTATTAATTGTCATCGTTAGTACTCTGTCTTTATTTTATTATCCGGGAAATAACAAATCCGGGATAACAAAATTTTTTTCAAGTTCAACAGAAGTATTGTCACTTTAATATTTAGGAAAGTTTAATATTTAAGAAAGAACGAAACAAAACTAAGAGGAAGAGATATATAGGATTTACTTCAGGAAAATCGGAGGTAGAGACATCTAGCTATGAAACATGAAAGTTTGATGGTTTGATTTTGTGCACCCCTATGTGAAACCTATCCCTGCCTATCTGGAGGGTGGGGCTTATACGGTATACCCACGATCCTGAATCCACCCCTCGGATAGCCCCGCCGTGTCGTCCCTATAAGCCGCCCTTCTTCTCTCTAATTCGTGCCCTCCCAGCATCTTCTTCCACGCCATCTGCGGCATTGCAGACTTCGATTTCGCGCGCGTACAAAAGCGGGACAATATTTTCATTTCAGCTAGTGGTTTGAAACCATAAATTAAAGCCAATTTGTACAACCTGAACTTTTAATTGTCGGTATATGTACAGACGTTGCCTACCGCGATTGCTCTAATTGTCCTTTAACTTTAAGAGGTACACAACCCTCTTACCACAAAATGATTCCTGCACGTTCAACTATTGTATACATTTGATAATTTATCACACGTGCAATTATTTTCGGCTTGTATTACTAACAAGCCGCATGTGGTATCAGTCTTTAATAGCATAATGTAAAATATAATCTCGAATATTAATTCAACCTTATCATAGTAGGTTTTTAGCATATATGGAAAAAATACAAGAATTTGCATTAAATCCATTTCATATTTAAAGATATTTGTATAATGAGGGAAACCGTTGTAAAAATATCGCTCCATATCATTATCAATCGTTAGGTAGTAGAAGATTGATCAATAAAGAAATTTTTCTACGTTTTCCAGTCAGTCCTATGTAATTTTATTGTAAAAACAAATGTATTTAGTAAATTTTTTAATTTTTAATTAAATTATTTGTAAATTTTTAATAAGAAAAAAAAGATTGTATTGAGTGGAGGAGAGTGATTTACCTGGCTATGGTGACGATTGTTGGAGGCGTAGGAAGAGCCGTTAAAAACAATCTGAACGTTCCATTGATCAAGCGATCGAGATCGTTGGGCTCTGTCACGTGCTCGGGTAGAACTGTATCATCTATAGTGCAACCTGCATTGTACACTAGCATCCAATCGACTTCGGAATCTCTGTAGACGCTCGTTACTTCTTGAAAAATCCGATCCACAGCTTCGTATCTGAAAATTGCAAAGCACGATTATATTAGTAAGTATAAGTATTGCGTCGTAAAATCAAATAAATTTAATCTGTGTGTTTTTATAAAAATTAAATAATGCTATGAATTTACACATAAATATCATTAGATAAGTATTTTTGCTATATTTTCGCATTTGTTTTATTTACTCTCTAAACCTTTAGGAGTGAAAATTGAGTAAGTCTTGAAAAAAGAATGAAAATTTTTCACTCTTGGACAAGATTTTTATTTTTTCAGAGTAAGATTTCACTCTCTTTTTAGAAGTACGATCCACTCCAAAAGAATAAAATCTTACTCTATTTTTGAAGTGAGACTTTATATATTCCTTAGAGTGACTTTCGCGTCTTTTGGAGGGCGATTTCACTCCAAGAAATTTAGAAAGTAGCTAAATAAATCAGATGTACTAATAAGAATATTAAAGATATTAGTTGCAGAACGAATATTTATCGAAAGCTTTTGTTAAAAAAAAAATGTCTTCAATGATAAAAGCGCTTCATTTACGAAAAGTCGATTACATAGGTAATTTGTAAACTTCATCGCGGACGCGCGTAACGATGGACGAAGGCAGACGGAGGACAAAGGTTGAACGATAGAAAGTTTATAATACCCCAATGATAGCACGTGGCTGCAAAAGTTGAGGTATTTCCTGAAGGCACGCGACGAAAGTTAACACGGCCACAAGAACGGTTTCCGGGTGCTCGTAATTTGTACTTCTCCGTTCCTCTACGAACGCTCTTTATCTCCCTCCCTCTAACTCCCTTATACCGCCGCCCTCTGCTTTTACTCTTATCTGATCACAAGTTTTCCTCGTTTTCTGCAGCTGCAATTCCTGGCGCGGCACGATCGGACGATACCTCCGTTGACAAGCAGGGACCGATCATCTGTTTTTTTTATTTAGATTATCGATAATGATATCATTGGGGATGACGATGCGGGAACCGCGATGGCAGGCTTCGTAAACCTGTTTCTTAATAAAAGGACGTTTTTAAGCATATTATGATACTCGCGTAGACTGTTATTAGTGTTACGTGGACCAGACATTAGAAAGTTATAGTCACAAATTAAATTTAAGGAAAAAAATGGATTGTGATAAAATCTTATTCTTCGTTTCTTTTTACAAAACTTTACCTCGTGATATTTATAATATTGCACTGAGAGAAATATTTTGTATGAATAACCATAATTTAATAGATACATAAATTACAAAAATTTTCTCATTTTTCAATTTAAACATTGTGTGTATCGTTTTAATCAAAATTTAATTACAATAACCAAATTTTGACATTAAAACAAAACAACTTATAAATTAAAAAATGAGACTTTCACATTCACATGTATCAACCAAATTGTGGTCATTCATAAAAAACATTTCTCTCAGTGTGAAAGTTCTAAATTTGCAAATAAAATATGATGAGAACTTTTAACGGTCGAATTTATTCCAAATTTTAGAAGAAATACCAATTGATACTCGATGGCAATTAGTTTTCAAGATCCGTGTGTCAATGTAAATTTTAATAGAGAATCATACAAGAGAGAGAGAGAGA